AGATATGTTGGACAAAGAAATTAAAGGGCGATGATAACAGGCTATTTAGAGTGAGTCGCATTTATAACTTGACTGTTAGTTTATTGAGAAGTCTTCAGCGCACCTACCATCCTTACTGTACCATACGACCCACTCTTTTTTGTAGTTAATGCATACCACGGCCAAGCTAATATCACCTCTTCTCTGTCGTATACTCCAGTGCTCCGACACATTTGGTTGTTAACTATGGATGAGAATGATCACCCTCGATTCCCTTTCCATGTCCATGCATAGTAAAGTCACCAGAAGCTCTCTACAGCTACACCGACTTCGTGTTGCTATACGCCGACCCACCATTTCTCGTTCTGAGCTTACTGACTGGACCTTGTGACTCAAAGCTTATTACGATGGACACTGGAATAAAATTGTGGATGATGGCTCAAAGAGTCTTTTTTTCCGACTTGATAGACCATACTCCTTCAGCAATTTAACGGAGTATGCCTTTGGTTTTCTTACACTGTTACTTTAATGCCACTTGGTCCTTGACTTTGTTACGCATTTATGGGTTTATCCAGGCGCTGTGCAATAACTCTGGTGGTCTCATGTCGTTTATTTCGATATCACCTCGATGCAGATGTTCGCTCCTGAAAATGCTCTCCAACTTATCTTTGTCTTACGGATGATTTTTCGAATGCGTATATTGTAATTTTGTTATTTATAGTCTGTCGTGTCTAAATTTCCGGATGAGGATGTCGTTCATAGAATGATCACTCTTGCCTAAACAACCTCCCTCTTACCGTCATGTCTTCAGAACTGCCACCTTCAAAACTGGGCACAAAGGAGTAGTGCGTAATTAGAGCATTCAATCGCACTACTTTATCGATGAGGCTTCTTTATCAGTTGGGACAACGTCTATGATGAGGAAGTAAAAAATTTCGAAGAGATTGGGGAAGAAGGAGAGATATGGTGAGCTTGCAATAGATCTGATACAAAATCATATCCGATGCCAGATTTTTCTCTAGGTTTGGAATCGAGAGCGTCGAAAAAATGGTAAAATGGGCAGAGGAAAACGTCCCATCCCAGAGCAAACCATTGACTTTGGAAATTGGAAGCGGTAATGGGACTCTTCTGTTCGGGCTTTTGGAGGCAGGATATGACGCCTCCACGTTGTTTGGGATAGATTATAGCGCAGGCGCTGTAAAGCTTGCTAAAGAGATAGCAGAGACCAAACAAGGCGAAGATGTTACGTTCCATGAGTGCGACTTCCTCACTCAGGATCCACCGAGTCCATTCTCCGATGCTGCAACCGTGGTTTGGGATCTAATCTTGGATAAAGGTACATATGACGCCATTGCGCTGGGCCCAAAGGATTCTGAGGGTCATTCCCCCGCGAAACACTACCCGGAGCGAATGGCCAGGCTGTTGAAGCCCGGTGGTCATTTTTTGATCACTTGTAAGCATTTGTTTTTGTGTTTGTCTGCGCACAAGCGACTAAAGTTCATCCATTTAGCTTGCAATTTTACGGAAGACGAGTTAAAGACGGCATTCAGGAGTCCAGAACTTGGTCTGGAATACCAGTACGTTCAATCACTATTGGGTGTCTAGCGATGCTGATGGGGAACCTTGCAGTTCACGAATCCAACATCCTACATTCAGTTTTGGAGGTCACACAGGTAGCATTGTTTCAAGTGTCGCATTCCGTAAAACTCCTACTGCGCAATAACGGGCAGGACAAGGACGCCACGGATGTTAATCATGATATTGGTACCACATCAATTCCCGTCCTCAATGTCTCCTGTGCAACCCCGACGGACCACTTGACGAATTTGTCGAGTGCATCTCCCTCGCCAGATGGCTTTGCCAGTAATTCTGACAAAAAGTACACCAAGCCCATTGATAAATTTTGTAACCTGGTCGCCTTGATGAAAACCTCCTCGATGGCATTGCGGTTTCGGGTAAACATGATATTGTTGAGGCTGTTCCCAATGACAGGAGTGGACCGCTGGCTGTTGATAAATATGTTGATCAAAAGCTCTCGCATGAAAATGCGGGTTTGAGCCTTGAGCCTTGTGAAATCTAGTGGCTTAAAAATGGGCTGAGTGAGTGAGGTTCGTATGTGTTTCGTTACAAACTGTACCTTGAGGATCATGAGATTGACACAATCTTTTGCAATCCACCATGCGTATGCTTTGCAAACGTTTTGCAGACGTGATTTTGAGACCTTTTGACTAGAACTGTCATCGAAATCGTCCGAATTTTTCGTCACAGCTGCACCTCCGACGTTGCTTTCCCCGAGCTCTCGTAGGAAATCCCAGAGCGTGTATTGTACAGTTATCTTGTGTGAATGAGCTGTTTTACATAGCTGTTGTCCAACCAAAGTGTAATACGGGTTATATACTTTTTCCTGTCATGAGATCGTAGATTTTGAGTAATTATACTTATCGCAATCCAGTGAGCCATACCTGTCCGCAACAATGAAGGATTACTCGGAAAATTTCGCGTTGCTGAACTTCAGTAAGTTTCAACTGCCCCAAACGCTCGCAGGCATCGAGATAATCCTGCGTACCCTTAAGTAAAGACTTCGTGTTCACTTGGACGAAGCACTCACCGCACTACTCAGAAGAACAACAAAGATGCCCTTTCGGATGTCGGTATTCATGCCCTGAGAGCGGGCCAGTGTAAGAAGGTCAGTTTCCTGCTGTTCCTCGACGTCGTCATCACGAGAACCATTGGCTTGCTGACCGCTACTCTGGAACTCCTCTTGCTTCTCCACAAGAGGGTCCCCACCCCAAGCAGCACCGACAAGCCACCACTTCCCTCGTTTATCAGCGGAATGAAGGTCTTCCAAAGATATCCGCAAGGATTCATGCGATAACACTGTTTTTGGCTGAGTTTATAGTAAGAATCGAGATAGATGGGTTCAATGACTGACCATGCTTCGTTTTACTGAGTCCAGATAGGAATTTCTTCATACGCTCGACTGAGGATGCCCCCTGGTTTTGTGTAACATTACGTTTTAGCTTGTTGTTTTTCAGATTAGTGAGCGTTTCGATCATGAAACGCGTTCGTGAACTGTAAGTAATTATAACAAAATCTTGAACATCGAGCGGAGAACATGGCTGACCTCAGGGTGCCGTCCTGTGTGGTCACTTTGTCTTGTACAAGCTGGATAATATCTTTGAGGGCAGTAGGGTCGTCTTGCCTAAGTTGGTGCCCAGAATCTGATTCGACGTGGTTGGATTTAGTTGCATATATGAAAGAGGACAGACTTACTTCGGAGGAGCTTGAGAAGTAGCTCGATTTTGAACTCGGACAAGTTATCCCGTAAAACTGCTTTTATGATATCGAATACAAGCACGCATGATATGACCTGGAAGTTGTACAATTCGGAGGTGAGAACCATGAGATTGGTGCATTCCTTGCCACTTTGCGAGTCGTCTCCAGCTGCTTCACAATCCAAGGCTTCATTGTAGTACTGCTCGTACTTCGAAATCGAAGTCTGAACAAAATGTGCCGCTGAATAAAACGATGAGAGATGGAAAACGATCTTTCAGAAATGCACAAACCAAACTCGATTCCAATAATCTTGTGGAGACTAGACACGAACGCCGCGTATAACACCACATACGAGTCAAGAAGTGACGAATGGGAGCAAATGCCATCAATAATCAATGTAGTCAATGTCGAAGTCACGTCTTAAAATACCAGTTAGAGTAGGTGATATACATATGGCTTCATGACATACCATTTCGTCGGTTATCACGATAAATCTCTTCCACACCAGATATGATGGTTGCAATATTTTGCTCGCTCATCCTAAAAGCCTAACTCAATACACGGCGAGACACTCCAAAAGCAATATATACCTGTTCAATTGACCTTTCAGCTGCCGCGTCAACTTCACAAGCGATTCGTCCTGCCCGCCTTGGGCGTGTCTGAGATGTGGAGGCACGTATGCGGACGTTGACGGAGTCGTAACAGGTCGAGGCGGTGACTGTTGCTCATTTGGCCGTGTGTCATCGCCCGATTCCTCATCCGCGGAGTCGTTGTCCAGAGGCTGCTCGATTCCTCCCCATTCATCTTCCGAGTCGAAATCTTCAGAACTTGCATCGTTGTCCACCAAAAATTCGTCATCCGACACGTCTCTTGGCTTCATAATCTGCGCAACCGTCCTGGAAGACGACGGCTGTGAATTGATAAATTTGTTAGATCGGAGGGGTACAGAGCAGGAGCATACACACCATTTTCGAAGGAGTGGCAATAGAATCCGCGAAGTTTAACAGATCTTTCGCATTTCATCAATTAAGACCGCACATAATCTAAGGCATAGAGGTTTACCATCCAGTCCGTCATCTTCTTGAACTTGTTTCTTCTTCGCCCTGACTCCTAACTTCGCCTCTAGGTAGGCTATATACTTTTCTTCCTTGTCTTCCGGTAGCGTGTGCAAGGGTAACTGTGCCAAATAGGCGTCTAGAGGGGTCTCCGTGGGTCTCTGTTGCTTTTCTTTTCCTTTTGCGTTCTTGGCTGGGAGGGCAGCGGAGGCAGTTGGTGGTGGAATGGGTTTGGGATCCTCGGTCCTAGCCTTTTTTCGTTGAGGCGAGTCTGCTTGCTCTAGCTCTGCAGGTCTCTTTTTGGGATTGCGACTAAAGAACTCGGACTTCTTTTGTTTATGGTCCTGTCTTTCTTGTTTTCTGAGATCTTTTCGTGATGCTTTTCTCGTTCCAAGACGGGAATGTGTGTGTTTATCTTTTGCTTCCTGTTAGCTAATGCAAAAATGTACAAGTTAAGGTGGTCTCTAACCTGCATTATCGATCTGCTCCAACAAACTCTGTGGCAGTCGCGTCGTACTTGTTTTCTTCCTAATAGCCATAGATGTTGCGTCGGAGTTGTAGAGGAGGGTAGCAGAGTTGAAGGTGCGAGGAAGGAAATCCTTGAGGGAATTATTGACCAAAAGGATGCATTACAGAGACGGATCATAAGCGGTGCGTCTGATGACTGGCAATTGCACCAGGCACATCATCGGCCTAATGGTCTAGTAGTATGATTCGCGCTTCGGGTTCTACCCGCTTCCAAATTAAAGGAAGCTCAGATGTGCGAGGTCCCGGGTTCAATTCCCGGTTGGGCCCCTTTTTGGTACATCCCTTTTTGCTGGCGCTTGACTTAGCTTCCTCGTCCAATTTTCTCAACATATGTGGTCAGGTAGGGTCCTGGTCAAGTTCTGTGCACTGTATCGCATGCGTGCTTTTATGCAAATATAACGTTTTTCTTGGTCGACAAACCACAATTCTTGTGGCACTCGAGTTTGCAATCGAATAGGCGACCAAGCGCTTATTTTCGCTCAATGAGGCCAAGGCCTTTGGATCCTTCCCGTTTATACCAAGTCATCTGAAATCTTGACCAGGATAAGCCCATAGTAAATTATTTCTAGGGCCCTTGCACATCTCAAATAAACAGCTTGCGTGAGTTTTGTGCCACTCATTTAGGGGTGTTTTCTATCCTTCGAAAGTAAAGAGGCTCTGAATCTCGCCTCGTACCGACGGGGTTCCTTCTGAATGTCTACAAGCGTATGACACTAAACACATACACCCTTATATTAAGCATTGATGGTGTAGCGGTAACATTGGGTCTTCCCATGGCCTAGCTCCGGGTTCGACTCCCGGTCAATGCATTTTTGTTTTGATGGTCTGACTACTTGACACAGTTCGTTACGGTAAATTCTTCGAAGCAGTTTGTCGTGATATTGTTTTACACGAAATTGTTTTGCCCACAAAAATGGTATTATTAATAGTCTAGAATGTACAAGGTCGTGGTACAAATAAAAAATGTCCGAGATCAATGCATAGGGAAGTTGTCGTCTGGTAGTCTTACCCCCCGGGGTGACATGTTCATGGGCATACCCATTCCTGCCATATTTCCACCATGATCCATCCCCATGGGTCCCATAGGGCCCATGACATTACCCCCTGGCATACCTCCTCCCATAGGGTTGCCCATGCCACCCATACCACCACCCATCCCCATTCCACCCATTCCACCACCCATGCCACCCATTCCTGGGCGCATGCCGCCACCGAGTCCTCCCATATTCACTCCTCCCATTCGCATAGGTGGCCCACCTGCGTCTCCACCCATGAAACCTGTTGGTCCTGGAGAAAATGGCGCACCGCCGCCAACCCCACCCATGGGTGGCCCACCAGGAAATGAGCCTGGTCCTCCAGGAATACCACCTGGACCCCCACGCATCCCCATGGCAGAGGGAGAGCCAGCATAGGGGAAATTTGGTTGAGGGCCTGAATGTCGAGGTGGATGCATTTGTATTGAATCACGGCCACTCATATGTGAATGCATCGTTGGACCAGGTCCCATACCCTGCGCGAATTGTGCGTCACGGAGTGGTGTATGATGCCGTGAACCCATTGAAGGTTGTTGCTGGAGTTGGAAGGGTTGATGCTGACCATGAGATTGGTGGTGTGGTGATCCATGAGACGAGTGCGACATGGAATGTGATAGTTGAACTTGTTGATTCGTATGGGATGAATGACTGGGACGTTGACCGGCGTTAGATTCAGTATCTTCGTCTTCTGTGACCTTTTTCACAGCTTCCCTAAGAGGTGTTGGGTCATAATATAGATCCGAATATTTGTCGACAAGGAACCTATATCAGCAGCCTTGTCAGATAAATATTGTGCAAGAGAGTTCTCAACCAACTGTTGTGTGCCGACATCCCACTGAGGTCCTCGTTCTGCCCGGGCAGTCATAAGCCTAGAATTCCATTCTGACGCACTTTCCTATAGTAAAACACATAATTAATTTTTAATGAAAAAGCGAGATGTACCTGCTATACTTACGATTGCCAGTGCCAGTTTAGAGCTGGATTGTGTCGTATCGACGAGAACACCTTGCGACTTGGCGTGATTCTTAACCTCGACACTTAGTTTTGCATTGATTCGTTGAGAATTGTGTCTGGGAACTTGTATTTTGATATTCTTTGGTGCCTTGGATGGTGCCATTCCTGAGGTAGTCTAAAGATATTCGGGATTATAACTTGAAGAACTTTGAAAGACGCAAGAGTCAGACTTCGAAAAGCTCGCGACCACGTGCTTCAATTAGCAGTGAATTCGCACGCCTGCTGTTGTGCGCGTTACTCCCTTTGTTTCTGTTCAACTCGTTGCTGATAAGTCCCCTGTGATAGTGGCAAACTCAGGTATTTTCCTTCATTAATCATTTAAAAATATATATCTTTCAAAAATTAACGTGTGTATCGTCATTTCAGCTTTCGCAATATGTCACGTCCACGAGGGGGAACGCCGTTATCAGGCGCAATACCATCTCTTGAAGCAGCGAACCAAGCTCAAATAGAGGATCTTGTTCAGCGAAACGTAACCCTTAGTCATACTGTTCAAAAGTTGAACGAACAGGTTGAGTTGGAACGGAAGAGAGGTACTACAGCTGTAAATGACATCCGGGACAAGTGGCAGGCAAATCAGAAGGAGTGGAAGGAAGGATGTGAAGACTTATTGTCATCATATCGCATCGTCCAGAAAACATTGGAGTACGAACTAGCGAAGGAGAGAAGCGGGATATATCAGGAGATGGCAGCCACAAGAGAAGAGAAGCTTCTACGGCTGCAGCGGGAGTATAAGATCAGCCTCTTCCAAATGAAGGAGGAAGAACTAGAGGGGAAGATTGAGCAGATAGAAGAGGAACATCAATTACAAATGGAAACCCTCCAAGCTGCACTGGACGAAACGAAGAAGAGATGTGCAGAGTACTTGGGCAAGTACAAGGAAGTTCAGGAACTGTCATCCAGAGCTCAGAGGGACAAGGAAGATAAAGAGGTAAGTAGCCCATTCTGCCTTGCTGTGAATTTGTATAAACAGTTTTGCTAGACAGAAGTTACAAAATTGCGAGGGGAACTGGCTAACCTGACAGCAGCGTCAGAAACTCTCAAGTCAAAACAGGAGCGTACGAAGCTACAGCTTGATGGTACCCAGACCCGCATTTCCGACTTGGAACGAACGAACGACGAGCTTCAGAGAACGAATAAGGACCTGACACGGCAACTCGAGCAGTGGAAGAGTTTAGAAACCAAAGAGGGGGAGGCTGCTGAAGAGCAACGAAAGCACCGGCTTACACTGGAGGTGGAGCTCAAGCAACTAAAGGGAGAGTCTAAGGAGCGAGAAGAAGAATATGAGCGGACGGTAGCCAAGAATGGCAGGAAGATAGAGAAACTTCAAAACGTTGTTTCAAAGTTGGAAGTGAGTCTGCTTGTCCGTGGCCATCAGAAGTTGTCCTAACATTTGTGCAGGAAACAGTGACAGAAACCGAGAAAGAACTAAGTTCTAGCAGGAAAGACGTGTCTAAACTGCAGAAGCAAGTTGAAAAACTCAAAGCAGACTTAGAAGAAGAACGAGCACGGGTCCGTCCCCCTTCTCCTCAGGTGCGTGTAATAGAATGGTTGTGGATGTATTTCTCCTGAAAGATTTATCCAGAAATTCACGAAGAATCCGACTCCCATTGAAGATGAAGCGGAGGACTCAGTCGATGAAATCCCAGTGGCACCTGTGAAGGTTCAACGACGGAATAAAGCCACGACGTCTTCCAAGGATGAAACTGCAGACGACAAGCCGAAGGCAAGAAAACCGGTAATCGCCAGGAAATCTACCGGCGGTAAACCTCCACCGCGACGCAAAGCTTCCCCTGTTCGAGAAGAGGCCAAAGATAGCAACAGTGATATCGAAGAGATTCCGAACCCAGCACCTCCAAAAAAGATGTCCAAGGCGAAAACTGTAGACAAAGGGAAAGGCAAGAAGAAGGCCGAAGAGGATGAGGAAGTTAGCGTTGAGGAAGTTGACGAACCGCCACCCAAGAGGAAGGGGAAAAGGAAAGGCCGAGGTAGTGATGAGGACGTCGATGAGACCGCAAATGAACGTTCTACAGGTGCCTCCAAGGCTCGAAACAAACGAGACCAAAGCGAACTCAAGGACGCTAGTACTAAATCAATCAGGCCAGGTTCCAGAGCTGCGAGTCGCCAGCCCAAAGGCAAGGAACAACCTCCACAAGAAAGCGAGGCAGATGGAGAGACCAAGAAGAAGAAACGGAAAATCAATATTTTCCCATCTGCCCCATCGTTGGATGGTCCCTCGTCCACCCTGGCGTTTGGCAATGTGCGTTGTTCGCGTCTTTATCCTTGTTATGTTCTGACCGCTCTCTAACAGTTGAATGCACTTGATGGGAATTTGAATATCCCAACTGTTTTGTCGCCAGTTAAAGATGACGATCTGGTTCCAGCACGATCCACGAGCATGATTAGTAGTCTATTGAAGCTTACAAGTCGTAGATGAAATGTGTATAACTTGGTTGAATATAGTATAGGGACATGGTATCTAACGTAGCGTATATCCTCGACAGCAGGGTAAATTATTAAGTACTCGATCCTCTCATTCAGCAGCACCGTCAGCTCCTGCATCTGCAGCAGAATCTCCAGCAGCGCCTGAAACAGCCCCTGCTCCTGTAGTCCCAGCTACGGCACTGGTGGTGGTAGTAGTAGTGACGGAGGTAGGTTCGTCTGTCTTCTCCTTCAGTGGTTCTTGAACATCAGAGGGTACATCCTTCTTCTCATTGGGCATAGGCCCTGGCACAGATGTATCAAGGGCAGTATCTTTTTCCTTTTCTTCTGCTTCTTCACCGCCAACTTCCTTAGCCAGTTCACCCCCTTTCTTGTACTCCCATTCACTGAGTCCGACATTGGCACCAAGTTCCCGCCAGTTCTCTTTCCAGACCTTGATACGGGACTCGCAGAGATCATTGAGAGCTGGCCAGTATTTCTCGTGCTCGTATTCGAAGTCTTGTTCTCCATTCCACCACTGCTTCATCATGTTCTCTGGAGTGAAAATGCCTTCTTGGTAGACATCAGGATTGAACTTGACCTTTTGCCTCGTGATGGGATCCACGAAAGGCATGACGATTTTAAAGAAGGTGTTAATGAGGAAGGGGATGTTGATTATCACTGACACGCCCAAGCGCTCAGGGTAATGGTCTTGCAAGATGTTCAGCACTGTGCGAGCAGTAGACATCGACGGGTTCTTTCCTCTGTCAGCAAAGTTGATCAAAAGCGCAATCGTTC